GATGCTACTGTAATTTAAAGTAGATTCCTTGGTCAACCTTTATAGACTCTCTGGGCTCATATTTTAAGGCTTTTGGGCCCAAAGACCATACTATATATGGTTTTCGGGCTATTTTGACCCTTAGGGTAAGCGATATTGGAGTTTCCGAAAATTAGGGCCCCTATTTTCGGAAACCCCCATATTGGAGTCTCTGAAAAGTTCAGGGATTGGCGTTTGGGGCTCGGGCTGATTTTCTCAGAGAGACCTCTGCAGGGTCTCCTTCGGCTTAAAAGAAGGGGACTAACCACTTACCTATACTCCTCCCTAGGGTTCCTTTAAGGGGATCTATAGGGTTTTTGTAGGGTAGTGTAGGCTTAAGCCTGTGCTCCAAAACCCTATTCTCTTTATGAAGGCCCATTTGTTGCTGTGGTGAACATTTGTGTGTGTTTCGGGCTTCGGGAATGGAGGTTTGTCAAGGGATTTTTCTTATGCTTCGCTATTATGTACATAGTAAAGAGGTTCACAGAGTTCTATGTTGCGTTAATAATTGTAAACCCCAAACCGCTGAGCCGCTAAACCCTAAACCCCTGAACGCCTAAACCCTAAACCTATGTGGAGTTAAAGCTCCTTCGAATTGATTGCACGGCTGCTGGAGCTCCAAAGAACTTCTCCGCTTTTATGGATAGTTCTCTCAATTAGGGTCCCTCTTTAGGTTTCCTTGAAAGGGATCTATAAGGGTTTCTTTATGGGGTTCCTTATAAGGTTCTATAATGGTTGCTAGAGTGTTTCTATACAGACAGGTGGGTACTATAAAGATACTTCTCTTACTTAGGTACCTTTTTAGGTCCCCCAATATAGTACGGCACCCTTACTTACCAAAGAGGACTCGAAACGGAACTCTAATGGAGAGAATTACCCATCTAGTAGGGGCTCACCTGTAGTTTATACCCGGTATAACCTGGCATTTACACCATTTTGGGCGAGTTTTCCGGCCCCAGGTAGATTATCTACCCAAAGATTCCTCAACCCACGCTGTTAGTGCAGGAATTACACGGAACCAGCTCATCAACCAGGCCCATGAAGAATTCGGGATGGAGCTTTCCGGGTTCAGGTGTGGGTTGTAATTCAGGGTTTAGTGGTTTAGGGTTTCTTGTGTGCAAGGGGTGAGGATTTGGGGGTGGGGCTTCTGGCGTGTGAGGAGGACAACACAAGACATTATATGTGGGGCACGTAGTGTGGGCAGGTCCACGGTGCGTCTGCCGTGTTAAACAACTAGGTTAATCAGTGGTATGTTTGTTTTTTACATGTCTGTTCCTGAGTTTCTAGCATGACAGAACTATTCCTCCCCCCCCAACAAAAACAACTCTTCTTTTTGCCAGTGGGTTGCTGCAAAGCCTAGATTAGGAGGCAGAGAGCTCGACTTTGCTTTGCTGGTATGCGGAGCCTAAACCTCAGGCCAGCCAGATCTATATGGGGATTTCCGAAAGCAGGGGACCCTAATATAGTACCCTAAATAGTAGGATCCCTATTATAAGGACTCCCAAATGAGGTACCCCTAATTTTCGGAAACCCCCATATGGGCTTGCTAAACCCCGCCAAACCCCACACCCCCAAACCCCCAAACTGAATCCTAGATCCTCTGTCCCTGCTGGCTGCCTCACTAGGATGCCCAGTAGTACCCTTATTCCCTTTTTGTAGTCCTAGGTTCCTTATAAAGTTACCCAATACCAAAAAGAGAGGCCTTTATATTCTTAGGTTACTGGGTATCCTAGCTCACTGGTGGTCTCTGACAATTGTCAGGGTTCATGTGCCCATATTAACTTAGTGCAGAGTACTTTGCTCCCGAAAGGTACCCAAAATTTAGAACCTCCTCAAGGCCTAGTATAGAGCACATTGGTACATGGACGTTTGGGATTATGTGTTTGCTTCTCGACTGGTCCTTTCACATGTAAGATGTCTGTCCTTTGGTCCATGCTAAGCACAGTGGGTAACAGTTCAGGCTCTCTGGGTGTCCAGTAGGTTGCACAGTGAAGTGCATGCCGCCAGATACGTTTGCCCGGGTTCTTGGATTGGGCCTTCATCCGCAAATTTTGAACTGAATAGAAGCCCTGAGTGCTCGAGGCACGAATTCTTCCGAGCACTGCTTGCTGCACGTCCCAACAGTGCCTCCTCGAGTGAGGCAATATTCACGCAACCCTATCTGTAAAAAACGCCCCCGGTTTTGTCTCAAGCCTTAATCCCGAAACCCTGCCGTTTCAAGGTTGCAAGCACGTTAGGAGGACCAGCACCCAGAGAGCCCTTACTGTTTTTATTTGTAAGTGGGCTGAGCTGCATCAACTTCAAGCCCCTTTTTCCTTTCAGGCATGCTCCTTCATATTTACGCTGGAAGACCTTATCAACATTCTCAAGCCGTATGTTCCGCACATTAAGAAATCTCGGACTCTGTGGGCAGCCCGCTCCGCTGAGGCCCCATGTACCCATATAGTACATACTTAGGCCTTAAAGTACCTATGTAGGGACCCCCTTTAAGGCTTAAGTATCGACTATAAAGGTACCATAGAAACCCTTATACCCTAAACCCTATAGAACCCTTTAAAGGAACCCTTAAAGGAACCCCAAAACGGAATCCTTAAAGGAACCCTAGTTTCGGCTCCCTTTAAGGAGCCGTTGGGCTCTTATACCCTAAACCCTATAGAACAACCCTAAACCCTAAACCCTATAGAACCCTTTAAAAGGAGCCCCTTAAAGGATCCCTTAAAGGGATCCTCCGGGCTCGTGCAGGAAAGGATGCTAGACAATCGCAAGCGCCCTTTGGGAAACTGCTGGGAGCTGCTGAGGACGCCCGGAACGATCAAAACTCTGATACAGGGGCTTCCTTTAAAGGGTTCCTTTACGGGCTCCCTTAAGGGATCTCTAAGGCTTTCTGTAGGGTTTGTACAGAGGCCTTGATATTTACCTATACCTACTATTTTGGGTGTTCCTTAATATAACTATGGTACAATGGGCCCCAAAACCCTATTCTAATTTTGGAGGCCCCTATATCAAAGTCTAGAGTGCCTAGAATGGAGTGCCTGTTAGCGGAAAGGGCCCATCATTGTTTGTACTGGTAATAATGCTCTCCCCATAGAACTGAATTTGAAGCCTTCTTTCGCCTATGGGAGGCAAGGAACCCTAAAACTCTGCTTAAAGTTTCATGTGGCGTAGTAAACTTTGTGACAAGGGTCACAGGTAATGTAACTGTGCCTAAAATTATTTAGAACTCCGGTTAGGGTACTTACGACCGCACCTACGAAGTCTCCAAGCAAAGTAGCTTGAACGAAGTGTTTGGACAAAGTGTATAACACAGAAGGGACATGGACTTTTGGGCTCTAAGCCTCTAAGCATACCTCAACTGTAAACCTCCAACCACTGTAAGCCGTGAGCCCTAGACCTTGAGCCATAGAGTTTGAAAATCGTGAACTCTAAACCCTCTTCAACAGGAGACCGTAAACCGTAAGTTGTGCCCCATAAACCGTAAAGCTTCAATTACTTGCAGAAAAAGCAATCCAGATTAGAATGATTAGAAGCCACATCTGTGACCGAAAAAGTGTTAAATCCCGAGTGTGCATACATATATATATATATATATATATATATTCACATGTATATACATACAAGGGGTTATGTATGTATACATTTATGTATTTGCACCTGATATGCTTATCTGTGTATGTTTGTGCAGCTATGTACATGTATATCTATGTGTGCATTCACATGTCCGTGCTTACACAAACCGCACCACCGATGGCAACGGTAAGCTAGCGGCTAGCAAAACCTTCACAAGACTCCACCACTGTGCTGCAGCTTTCCAGGAGACAATACGCGGCGGTCTTAGATCAGGGCTGGGCAGAGACTCCAATAAATCGTACTAGGGGTCCTACTATTACTCCTTAATTACGGGATATTGGAATCTCCTAAACCCTAAACCCTATAGATCCCTTAGAGGCACCCTTAAGGATCCCTTTAAAGGAACCCTAAAGACTCTCTGCGTACTTCGGACATTGACCTTTTTCGCAGTTCTCAGGCCATGGGTTTTTCATCATCCTCTGAGGTCCTGATCCCAAAGCCTACCTGGCAATCCAAAACTCCGCTGTTTTCGGGGGTTAGACCTTACACTTAAGGGGTCATAACGTACGATTTTGTAGGGTTTGGGGTCACAGGTAAGCCTTTACACAGAAACCCTACCCTGAACCACAAACTACTAAACCCTAGACCGTCCCCACAGGACCCCGACAACCCCCCTCAAATCCTAAACCGTGAGGGTTTGAGGTCTGGCTTAAGGGTTGGCAACCCTGACATGCTCAAGAAGACAATAGCCGAGCCACGGCTCATTGGTTAGGGTTTGTTGTTTAGGGCTTACCGGTGACTCCAATTCCTACAAAATGGTAGGTTATGACCCCTTAGTTAGAGGGTAGAACCCTTAAAGCGGTAGGATTTTGGATCCCCAGGTAGGGGGCATCCATCGACCCCCATTAATTGAATAGCTTTATGGGGTTTCCTCCGAAAATAGGGGACCCTAATATAGTGCCCTAAATAGTCGGATCCCTTATAATAAAGACCCCAAAATATCGTACTCCCATTTTCGGCAACTCCCAAACCCTAAACCCTAAACCCTTTATAGAACTCCTATAGGTCCCTTTAAGGAACCCTAAAAGGATCCCTGTCAAGGAACCCCACGGAAGAACCCTAGACTTTGCAGCGCGAAAGCTCTAAACCCGAAGCTCCAACGACTATTCCTTGATTAAGGAATATACCTAAAAAATCAGATTTTAGGGATCCTACTATAAAGTTGTAAGGCAAATTCCTTAATTAAGGGATGTTGGAGTCTCTGAACCCTTAAGGATCCCTTACAAGGAGCCCTAGGATCCCTTTAAAGGAACCCCTACGGATCCCTTTAAAGGAACCCCTGAGGATCCCTTTAAAGGAACCCCAGGGCCCCAGGGAGTATTTGCGTCCTTCGGGCATGACTTCGCCATGCTCAGATGACCTACCGGAGCATCCTCGAGGCGCAGGTGCAGCACTGGTCACGGCCTCAACTGCTTCTGCCGGTTTAGGGTTCAGGGTTTAGGGTTTAGGGTGTTTAGGGTGTAGGATTTAGGGTTTAGGGTTTAGGGTTTAGGGTTTAGGGTTCAGGATTTAGGGTTTAGGGTTTAGGGTTTAGGGTTTAGGGTTTAGGATTTAGGGTTTAGGGTTTAGGGTTTAGGGTTCAGGGTTTAGGGTTTAGGGTGTAGGGGTTTAGGGTTTAGGGTATGTAATTAGAATAGGGTTCCTTTAGAGGGTTCCTAGAAGGGTTACTATAAGGGCTCCCATAAGGGTTTGGTATAGGGGCCGCAAAAACTACCTATGCTGTTTTGGGGGTTCCTCAACTACAGCGTCGTCGTCATCACATTGCTGTCACCACTATCACCACCATCGTCATAAGCAGCAATATCTTTAATTAGCATGTATACCGCATCATCATCATCATCATCACCACCCTAATCATCAGTTCCATCTGCACTCCATCCATGACCATCGATGTCCCCATGCTCTCGACCGTCACGCTGTTCATGATCATTACGACAACGTCCTCCGTCACCTTCCTCGTCCTCGCCATCCACATCATCTGCATCACACCCCAAAACCATCATGACCATCTTCTAAGCACCCGTTTTGATAAATGATAAGCCCCTTCCGAGGGCCGCAATGCCCCCCAAAGCCCCTCAACAATGTAACAAAGCATAGCCATAAAGTCCGTAAAGCCCACCGGAAGCGACGGAGTGATGGGTTTGGGTGACGGTGCTACGGGGCAAGGGCAGCTTGGAATGTCGGGCTTTGCTGAGTTTCGATATGAAGCTGCTATGAAGGCTAGGACCATGCTAGGACAGGTACGATGATGATATTTCCATGAAGGTTGCTTATATGTGTTTTTGATCTTGAATATTACTAGCATTACCCGAATCAGATTAGCCTTCGGGACAAGAAGAGGAGATCTTGCTAAATACTCCGACCCCTTTAGTAGGAAAGTCCTCCGCCCCAAGCACCTGTATACAATACATTATCGAATCTCTTGATGCGTTCGGGCTGCCTCGGGGACGCGGCAAAATGGGTAGTTGTAAAGGGTCCCTTTTTGGATACCCTCAAGATTAAGTGCCGTATTAAAAGAAGGACCCAAAACGTGACCATAATTTTGACAACCGCCCAGATATAGCAAAATTTCAGCCCCCATCCGTGTTCAACCATTTCCGGTGTGTCGTCTCCTTGAGGGTAGAGAGGGGCCTGAAGCACTTCGCAATACTAATGTAGGGGCCTTAATAGTTACCTATACTATTTTGGGGTTCCTTACTATAACTATAGTATAATGGGCCCCAAAACCCTATTCTAATTGTTAAGGCCCCTATATTACAGATAACAGTGAGAATCTGCAACAGCATTTGCAAGATTTGTGCCTGAACCCTAAAACCCCAAAACCCTGGGCCCTAAACCTCCCGGTCACCGGCCACCCACCCCTCTTCCATCCTATCGGCCGATCCTCTCCTTCGCCTCCCTACCATTCTACTTGAAGGTTTATGGGAGTTAGTAACTGGGGTTATAAATAAGGTAACCATACTTATAATTACTTATAACCCCACTTAAGGTACTTATAACCTTACTTACTAAGTCCCATGATCCTCCAAGTAACATTCTACCATCATTGGCAAGTACTGCTTGCTCTCTTGTCCCTGCCCGTGTTCACTTCGTGGGCGTGGAGTGCCGGAACTTCAGCCCAAGAGGCAACCAAAGCGGTGAAACAGGAGATTCGATGGCCGGCTACGCTGCCTGGTGTACGGCCCGTCGGGCTTTACAAGAGCCCATCATTATCCCAGAATGCAGCGATAGCTTCGACTCGACCCTTCTCCACGATGCTTTGGGAGATCTCTACAACAGTGAATCATCATCTTGGAAGCTAGGTTCCTGGGAGCACCTGGTCGTCGCTCTCGCTACTTTGGCAACTGCCTGCACAAGGACTCCCCCCCCCCCCCCCCCCCCTCCCCATCCCGGCGTCGGACACCAAAGCAAATCATTGTTTATAGGGTATAGCCGGGCATAGCAAATATCTCTCACATTGGCAAATTGACAGATGGAGGATTTCGCTTGAAGCCCGTTGAAGCCCTCATACTCCAAACATGCATGCGTTGCCACACCTGCAGAAAAGAATTTGTTTTTTGAGTCAGGGGTTTCATGGGGCTTGTATTAGCATAGACTAGAAAGGCGGTTTGTAACGTCTTAGACCATGGTACTAAGAATAGTGACCATGTTTAGGATACCGACGGACAGTATGGTTTCGAAATACTTGGCTAGTATTTTGGGGTTTTGGCCAGCTAGGCGGTATTTTGCAGTACATATCCCTAAGAGTCCATGTACCCAAATAGTATATACTTTGGGCCCAATGTACCTTGGGCCCAAAGTATATACTATTTGGGTACATGGACCCTTGGGGATACATAATTTGAATGTTTTCTGAGTTCGGCACTGCACCATCCCCGAACTTTTGCAATCTTGACAACCTTTCCCAAGGGCTCAACACGATCTAACCCTAGGCCTCTAAGGACTCATATATTAAGGCTTTTGGGCCCGAAGACCATACTATATAAGGCTTTTGGGCGATTTTGATGCCCGGGGTAAATCCACTAACAAGTAAAGCACTACCCTATACAGACCCTTGATCCTGACAATTGTAAACGTTACAAGCCCTCAACCCTACAGCCCTAACTCAAAACATCTAAAAAAGCTTCAACTCTAAACCCTAAAGCTTGAGCCCCTAAACCGTGAACTGCCCCGGACCCAAACCTCTCCCAAAAGCTTTAAACCCCAACCATGGCTCGCAGTTGGGCTGAGGCTTCGTGGAGACTTCGCGGGCGCCTCTATGAATCTTACGTTTGAGTCCTTCATAGAACTCCTAATAATAGGATCCTTATCATACCCGAAACCCTAACCCCAAAGCCCTCAGCCTAAAACCAAAGCCGTAAAGCCTAAACCCTAAACGTTAAAATCCAATTCCTAAACGACCCTAAACGCGTGGGACTACCAAAAACGTCAACCGATAGGCGACATTAGGTCCCCCCAAGTACAAACCATAGGTTCCCACAGCGTCCGCTTCTGAAACCCCCATGAGGCTCCGTGGTGACTTCGTGGGCCCTTGCTTGCGGAGAGTACGGGACCTGACAGGTCGGAAGCTCGGGAGTCTGAACCACGATTTAGGGTTTAGGGCTTGGGGTTTAGGGATTAGGGTTTAGGGTGGTTTAGGGTTTAGGGATCAGAATTTAGTTAGGGTTTAGGGCTTGAGAGTTTAAGGGTTTACGGTTTAAGGGTTCCCCCTAAAGGGATCTATACCGGGTCCCTTTAAAAGGATCCAAAAATAGGGGTTCCTTTGAAGGGATCTATAGGGCTTCCTTTAGAGGGATGTTTAGGGTTTAACTATGGTTTAAGGGTTTAGTGAGTCCGAACCATGGGGACTTCAGTGTGTGTACTTTTAGGGCTCCTTAGAGGGATCCATAAGGATTTCCTTAGGGTTCCTATAAGGGTATTATGATCGGAACGCCCAGGTTAGAGGGGCTTAGGATATTGGGGGGTTCGGAGCAATGGTTTAAGGCATTGGATTTAGGGTATTGGTAGGTTTTGGGGGGTTTTGGCTGAGGGCCTAAAGTTTTGGGTTTAGTCGGGTGTAGGCTTTGGTGTTAGGTAAGTTCGATCAGAGTTCATCAGGGTTCTTAGTAGCAGAGTCGGAAACTTTTAACCTTTTGGGGTTAGGATTTGGGTGGTACTATAAGGCCTATGGACTAAGGGAGGTGTGGGTAGGGGCGGGGCTTCAGGGTTTAGTGTCGAAAGGGTTTTGTGTTTTAGAGTCCAGGGTATTGGGCTGAGGGGTTGAGATGGAAAGCGCAGTCAACTCTCCAGGCACGAATGCTCAAAAGATTGGACCCAGAAGCCAGAAAGCTTCACAGCCTGCGCATCCATGTCCTTGTGCACGCCTGGACTCTCGTCACCCCAAACTCCCACTCGCTAAACCTGCTCACCCTAAGCCTGACCTGAAACAAACCTGGTAATCTAAACCCCAAATCCCCAAAGCCCTAAACCTTTCAGTCCTACAGCCCTACTGCCCAATCCCTAAACCCCTAATGCCTAGTCCCTAAACCCAGACCCTTAAGTCCTACACTAATCCCTAGACCCTACTCCCGCAAACGCTGAACCCCAAAACCTAGAAAGTTCTAAGTCTCTAAATCCCCAAACCCCCAAGCCACAAAACCCAGGTCTTCCAACATCCTTTAACTAAGGAATACCTGTGACTCCAAACCCTGCAAAATACTAGGCTACGACCCCTTAGTTCGAGGGTAGAACCCTTAAAACGGTAGGTTTTTGGATACCCAGGTATTCCCTAAATCATTCTACAAAAATCCTCACTTAAAGAGTTCTGGACGATCTGGGAAACGTAAACCCGAAACCCTACCGAAACCCTAGCTTTTTAGGGGTTCTACCCTCTAATTCAAGGGGTCATAACCTACTATTTTGTAGGGTTTGGGGATACAGGTAGCCCTTACACAACCCACATGGAGCCTTTAGGGCCCTCAGGGTGCCCCAAACCCTAAACCCGAAACCCTAAGGCCTGGAGCACCTATAGACCCAAAACCCTGAACCCCTCAACCCGTGAACCCTAAACCCTAGAGCCCTTAGGGTACCTGAACCCTAAACCCCTAAGACCCTAAGCCCCAAAGCCTTTAGGGTACCTAAACCCTAAACCCCTGAAACCCTCTAGAGGTGTTAGGGTACCTAAACCTTAAACCCCTAAAGCCCTAAGCCCTAGAGCCCTTAGGGTACCTAAACCTTAAATCCTAAACCCCTAGCTCTTCGTTGAAGTCCCAGAGCCAGACGTCACTCCACAGCCAAGGCGCTTTTCAGACCTCCTTGGCGGAGGTTTGGGTTTAGGGTTTAGTGGTTAGGCTCAAGATATTAGGGCTTATAGGTTTTATAGGGTTTAGCATTTACCTGGGGATCCAAAAACCTACCGTTCTAAGGGTTGGACCCTTTAATTCAGGGGTCTTAACCTACTATTTTGTAGGGTTTGGAGTCGCAGGTAGGGGTCAGGGACCCTAAACCCAAACCATACACCTGCGGGCGCGGCAGTCGACTCAAAGGGTAGGGTTTAGGGTCTACCAGTGTCCCCAAACCCTACAAAATAGTAGGTTATGACCCCTTAATTAGAGGGTCTGACCCTTAAAACGATAGGTTTTTGGATCCCCAGGTAGGGTTTCCTGCTAAGTCCCGCTCATTTTCAAGCGGAGGAGCTTTGAGGGTTCGAACAGCGTTTTGGGGTGTTTTGTAGCATATTGTAGTACACATATGGGTGGTTGTCAAAATTATGGTACCTTTTTGGGTACCTTAAATATTGGGTGCCGTATCATATTCCCCGAATCCCTAAACTAAACCCTTAAACCAGAAAAGAACCTCAACCACGTGAGAGCCCTGAACTGTAGGCCTTGAAGCCAGAGCAACTACCCAGAGACTCCAAATTCCCTTAATTAAGGAATCTATACCTTAAATCATATTAGGTATCCTACTGTAGTGCCCCCCCGGGGATCGAAATAGCCCAAAAGGCTTACGTATATAGTATGGGCTTTGGGCCCAAAAGCCTTAACATATGAGTCCTTAGATCCCTAGGGGTTTAAGGTATATATTCCTTGATTTGGGGGATCGTGGAGTCTCTGGGTAGGGCCCTGACGCCCAAGACCAGATTGTGGAAGCTGCACGGGTTTGAACTTCACAAAAGCTCCAAAGCCTCACCGCGAATGACTTTGAGTTTCGGACTTATTTCGATTTCGTTTTTTGGGTTTATTGGGGTTTAGGGTTTCATGTTACATGCAGAAATTTCGAGATCTAGATTTGTTAAGCGCCCCGAAATTCGTTCAAGCCTGCCTGAAGTCTGATCAATGACACCTCAAGCCTAAACTACCTTGTGGATGCTGCAAAAAGGGTCGCATAGAAAACAGCTAAACTCCTTTGAACGCCCGCCGTGTGCAAATTCGAACCCACATGCTGGATTGCTAACACCTCTTACTTCATCGGACCCTACCAAATCACAATTATGGCTGCTTACAGCAAGCCTGAACCCGCCAAACCATTGAGTTCGCCAGGTTGTAAAGGAGCTCGAAGCCGTGCGGAGCGGCGCACGCGAGGACGCCAAAGTGCCTGACATAGAGGTGCGATTGGGGTTTGCGTGGCTTCGGAAGGTTTAGAGCTTAGTCGCCGGAGTGTACAACCATATCCTCTTACAGCCGGTATATGATGGCTTAATTAGACTAGTATGTATCCGAAGTACACAGGCCTTTTTATCATGCGATTTGGAACACTGGTTAGCAGGGCATTCGTGTGGAGAGGTTTATTCATGGCCCCTAAGTGATGTGAATCCAGATGTGATCACCATGAAAAAGAAGGGGGTTCGCTAGTAAAAATTGCACTTTTCAGAATGACTACCTGCAGGTGTGAAGAGTTGAATACAGTTTAGCGTTTAGAGTTTAGGGTTTAGGATTTAGGGTTTAGGGTTTAGGGTTTTCTGAGTCTATGAGCTATGCAAGCTTGCACATGTTGCGTGTTACACTTTCTTCTTAGGGGTACTTAGAAATTATTTTTAATTATTGGTTATGATAATCTCTAAGAAACAGCTAAAATTTGATTTTTGCTAGGGTTCTAAGTTCAGTATAGTTTTTGTCGTTTAGGGTTTAAGGGTTTAGGTGTTTAGGGTTCAGGGTTGGTTCGGGGTCAGGTTCAAGGTCGTAGGGGTGTTTCTTCGTTAGTGGCGGTGTGAGTTGGTAGCGGCGGCGGTGATGCATTCTGTCCACCACACTTCCCTCCCGTTGTTTATGGTGCGGCTGTTGCTGCTACGGGTGCCAGCTATCGCTGTTTTCTTCGGTGTCATTGCTGTTGCTTCTACAGTTGTGTTGTTTGTGATTGTGATGTGACGGTGATGGCAGCAGTTTGTTGCTGTGTGGCTGTTGCCAGTGCCATTGCTGCAACATGTGCTGTGGTAGTTGTGTTGCTATGTTTGTTGCTTTACCGCTGCCGCTGCCCTGGTGCGCTTGTTCCTGAAGAAGAAGATGGTGTTAATGATGGTGATGATGATGATGATGAGCTTTGAAGACGATGGTGATGATGATGATGTCGATGGTGATGGTTAGCATGAGGGACGACATGAAAGTGATTGTATACCACCCCAGCACTCTGCAACGCAAAAATCGATACCAATGTCAAAAAGCAACAATCGTTGAAGATCTGGCCCCAATAAAAGGCATTAAATATTGGACTCTTAAAAAAGAGACAGCCTGAACCCCCCCCCCCCCCCCCCCCGGTTCAAAGTACCTGAATACCGGTAGCCAACATGGTTTATATAGCTCTGCAGATTTTCGAAGTGCACCCCGGCTGAGCTTTCTGCCATGCAACACCCTCAACCCGCTTCATGATGAAGACCTTGCTACCTAAACCTTACATAAACCCCCAGACCCTAAACCCTGATCAACCCTAAACTCTAACCCTGGGCATCAAAATAGCCCAAAAGCATTATATAATAAGGTCTTTGGGCCCAAAAGCCTTAATATATGAGTCCTTAGATGCCTAGGGTAAACCCTCAACCCTAAACCCGAACCTGACCCTTGGCGGTCAAAACCCGGAACAGGCCAAGCGCCGTGAAGGAGACGAGTCGCTGACTTGTTGATCCGGGGCTGTTGGGTATTGAATACCTGTATCCCCAAACCCTACAAAATAGTAGGTTATGACCCCTTAATTAGAGGGTCTGACCCTTAAAACGGTAGGTTTTTGGATTCCCAGGTAATACTAACAGTAGTCCGTAGCTGCGATAATAATAGCAAGCTGGGGGGTTTTAAGTTTGAGGTGTTAAGGCTGTAGGATGTCAGGTCTCTCATGCGTTCAAGTCAAAGTGCTGCGGTTTCAGGGCTTGCGTTTTGCTGACTGAGCCTCGCCTTACAGCGTCCAAGTCTCAACTGTTGCTGCAGGCCCCTGCCGCCGGGCGGGGCGGAGGAGTTACGTAGTCTGTTTCTTTGGAGGTGGTTAAATCAGATCAACCCTCCTAATGTAGGAGCCTGATTAGCCTGATTAAGAAACCTTGGGCCTTTTTTCGGGTTACTTTAACAGCCTTGGCAAATCCTCTCGAAGCCTTAAAACCCTATGGGAAGTTCTGTATGTCTGAAATAAAGTAGATTTGCTGGCCAAACCAGAGACCCCCCAAACAATAGAGCCTAAACCCTTTTCCTGTCGAAGGGAAGAAGAGAGAGCCTGCTCTTTCTTTTGGGTCTTCAAAATTGTTAACTTTCATTGAAGAACTGGACGTTGACCATGATGCCCCTGTGGTCCCCTTTGCAATTGAAAGCTTAGGGAAGCCTGTGAAGAAGCGTGAGTTCAGGAGAGTGGAGTTGTCAAATTTGCTTGGGGATCTCCGAGTGGAGAACTTGAAGTTCTACCCGGGAGGTCTTCTCGCTTGTGGATATTACGACGACAAGAATGAAGTCAAGACGGCGACTGTATTCATGATTTTGACTCAGTCCGGCGCGACTTCATCTCCTGTTGGGAATGCAGCTCACGCTGTGCCAGTGCTTGAGGCTATCAACTTTTTTAAGAGCGATGCCAAGCCTGCTGACCGTGCTGCTTTTCTTCGCAAGCATCTACTTGCTGAAACGCAAGTTTTTCAACACAGTTTGATCCTCGCCTGTTTGTCTAGTTGCGAGTACTGAAACCCTAAAGCCCTAATGATTTAAACCCCAAGGACCTAACCCCAAAGTCCCTTAGCCCTACAGCCCTTAACCCTCAGAACTTAAGTTCTAAATCTTTCAGCATAAAATACCCTGCAACCCTAAACCCCTTAATCCTCATGTCAGAACAACAACCTCACACCCCAAGCCCCAAACTCCGGAAATCCTTGAGAAGTCAAAATTCCTGAAACAGGTTATATGGCCAGAGTTTCTTAATCAGGTTCCCACATTACACCAAAACCCCGAAACCCTAAACCATAAAACCCCAAACTAACCCTAAGTTCTACATCCTAATCCTTAAAACCTACACCTTACAGCTTCAAACTAACCCTAGACCCTAAATCCTAAACCCCGAAACCCTAAACCTTAAAACGCCAAACCCCTGAACCCGAAAGGTCGAAAAAGAGACGAACCACCAGCCTGCTCCATTCCCACAGAACACGGCAGCCCCTAAGCCCTTACACCCCAAAGCCAAAATCCAAAACCCTGAACCCTGAACCCGAAGCCCAGCTTTGAGCGATGCCCCATGCGACAGGAGACCGGAGGCAACGAACCGGAAAAGGCAAGTGGGGGGGGTCATTGGGTCTTAAGATTTAGGTTACGCTTCAGGGTCTAGGGATTGGAGTTTAGGGTTTGGGTTAGCGACTTGGGTTCGGGAATTAGGGTTTTGGGCTTAGGGTTCCTTTCCAGAGATCGTATGAGGGTGCCTTGATTGTTTTGAAGGCTCCCTAACAGGGTTATTTAGGGTTTCCAAAGACCCCAATATCCCTTAATCAAGGAGTATACCTTAAATCTTATAAGGGATCCTACTATAATTCAAGGCCTCAGGCTCCCTTTTGAGGCTCCTGTAAGAGGTCCATAACAGGATATGGTGGATTTGAATCACAAGATTTACCTAAACCCCAAACCCCAAGCACAAAACCCTAAACGCCAAACCCCAAACTTCAAGCCCCAAACGCTACCTGTATCCCCAAACCCTACAAAATAGCAGGTTATGACCCCTTGATTAGAGAGTGAAACCCTTAAAACGGTAGGTTTTTGGATCCTCAGGTAAACCCTAAACCATGGTGTGTACCGGGTTCGGATGTAGGGGTTTATGGATCAGATCCAGAGTTCAGGGTTTGGAGGGTTTAGGGTTTAGGGGTTTAGGGTTTAGGGTTTAGGGGTTTAGGGTTTAGGGTTTGGAGGGTTTAGGGGTTCAGGGTTTGGAGGGTTTAGGGTTTGGAGGGTTTAGGGTTTAGGGTTTAGGGGTTTAGGGTTTAGGGTTTAGGGTTTAGGGGTTTAGGGGTTTAGGGTTTAGGGTTTAGGGGGTTTAGGGGTTTAGGGTTTAGCGTTTTAGGGTTTAGGGTTTAGGGTTTAAAGGGAACTCCAGAAAGTTGGAATATGGTTTCAGGGTAGGATACCCTATAATTTACCATAAAGGGTTTAGGATAATCATATTCCAACTTTCTGGCTTACTTTAGGGGTTTAGGGTTTAGAGCAACAGTGGTCTGGGTTGTGGGGTGTGGCTCTTTTGAGGATTCTGGCACTCTAGGGATAAAGCTTTGACTTCGTGTTGCTTCGGGTTTGTAGTTGAGGGTCTTGGGGTTTTGGGGTTGGGGGTTTAGGGCTTTTAGGGCTCAGGCTTTAGCTTCCGCGCTTCATAACCAGCTTCGTGGCTGTACCAGGTTTTGCGAGTACGGTGTTTGTTAAGGTTCCGGTTTAGGGTCTAGGGGTGTCTAGGGCTTTCGCTCATTCCGCTCTTCTCAACCTGTATTTCCTGCTTAAAACACGGCAAACTCTACCTCTTGGAAACCTTCACCTTCAACCATAGACCCCTAAGCTCGTACAGCCTACTTGTGGGTCCGAAAACCTCTAATAAATCGGTCATAGCCTACTGTACCATTTTGTGGGGTTTGGGGTCACAGGTAAACCTTATTCCCCTAAAGCCTTGAGCCTTAAACCGTAAACTCCGACTGCGCAGATCGTTCAGAGCTGAAGATGGAGGAGGCTCTCCAGAACATCCTTCTTCATCTGGAGACCACACCTCAGTACTAGGGCGTCTTTAAAGGCTTTGGGCTTTAGAGGGTTTGAGGTGTAGGGTTCATGTTATAAGAGACCAAACCTCAGTACTAGGGTGTCATGAAAGGCTTCAGGGTTTAGAGGGCTTAGGGTTCATAGGGCTTAGGGTTCATAGGGCTTTAGGGTTTAGGGTTTAGGGTTTAGGGTTAGGGAGCTATAAGGGGTTAAGGTTCGGGGTGGCTTAGGGTTCATAGGGCTCCCTTTCAAACGGGAGCTATAAGGAGTTAAGGTTCGGGGTTCAAGGTTTTGGGCTGGGGTTTAGGTTCAGGGTGTTTGTGGAGCTTAGGGTATAGAGGGTCCCTCCAAAAGGTTCTGTAGGGTTACCAAAAGGGCCATCATAGTGTATGGGCTTACTGGTGCGGGATCTATGAATCTATGAGGGGTTCTAATGAAATTTGGGTTGTAAGGGGCCTTGATGTAGTTAAGGGCTTTGTGGGTTTTTGGTTTCAGGGTTTCAGGACTGGGTTTTTGCGGTTTTCGTTGAGGCTTGAGGATTGTGTTTTGCGGCTGTATCAGTGGGGTGTTACGAGGTTTTCGTCGTTGTCCTATGTTGCTTAGTAGAATTACACTCTGTTGCTATATGGGAGTTTCCGAAAATAGGGGACCCGAATATAGTACCCTAAATAGCGGGATCCTTATCATAAGGACCCCAAAATGAGGTACCGCTAATTTCGGAAACCCTAAACCCTAATAGATCCCTCTCTAAAGGAACCCTATTATAGTACCCTTATAGTAACCCTTTAAAGGGACCCTAAGGTACCCCCTAATTTCGGAAACTCCCATACAGGAACTGCGAGGGGCCTCAGGGGATTAACTTACGAATCACTCAGACCACTTTGCCAGGGTCCGTTATAGGCTCGTAGGGTGTCATGTCTTCCTGTGTCTTTATGCTGGAATCATAGGATGGCTTTTAGGGTTTAGATGACTTTAGGGTCTTAGGCTGGCCCTACACTTGAGGGTTTTTGGCTAAGGCCCCAGATATACAAATTGTTGTTGCTTCGGGGCTCAAAGACTGTACAGTGAATGTACTGTGCTATGCGTAAATTTGAGGCCTTGGTTCTTAGGGTTTGAAGAGTTTTGGTGTCGAGGACTTCAGGCTTCACCCAAAAGAGGGCTCATATTGACACGGGTTTAGAGATTGTGCCATTCGGAATTTTAGGTTCAACTCTCTCGAGCTTTGGGCTGTAGGTTTTGGGCTCACCGTCAGTCCCTAAACCCAAAGCCTCAAACCGTAAACCTTAAACCCAAAGTACGGTTTGGGGGTTAGGGTTGTGTTTACGGTTCAAGGTTCTGGGATGGGGCTTATGGCTTGAGGTTTAGGAGGACGGCCGGCATGTAACAGGCGCACGCATGGCTAGGCAAACAGAAGTAAGCGTGTGACCAAGACATTCTGTGTTAGGTAAGTTTGGCTGAGACAGATCCAGGAGTTGCAGGCTCCTGCAACGCAACACGAAGCATCGGTCGTGGTTTAATGTTCCCTAAGTGTCCATGTACCTAAATAGTATATCCGCTGGCCTGAAAGTACTCCATATATGGGTACATTGGGCCCAAAGTATATACAATTTGGGTACATGGACCCTTAGGGTTTGTTAGTGACAGCCGAGACACTCTTTGAGACGAGCAACTGCGTAGTGAGAGTGGATAGCGAAGATGATGGGCAGGATCGAGGGTGTAGGGAAGGGCTGTTGATTCTACTGGTAGGCGTGTTTTCTGCAGGACAAGGAAAATAACTGCTAGATTCGCTTGTCCTTGACCCCACCTTCCCGACTATGGAACTCGAAACACTCCACTCTGCACCCGAAACCCTAAGCCCCAACACCCTGAAGTCCTACACTCGAACATCGAAATGAGTTCTGGCACAGCAAGGAAAGAGATGTCTCTCCTTGCCAACGTTACCGCGCCCAGAGGCATTGTCGACGGTCGGTTTGAGGTTCCGGGGTTTGAGGCCAAAGGCTTTCGGTTTTAGGGTTTATATGGTTTAGGGGTTTTAGGGTTTAGGGTTTAAGGTTTTCGGGGGGGATCGATCTTAGATCATTAACAGCAGCTGCGAGTTTGACACACCACGTGTAGCCCCAAACTTAGAAGCACTTTTTTCCCTAGTCCTGGGCCTCGCGATCTTCGAGGCCACAGTTTTGGCAACCCTAAACCCCCCTAAACCCTAAACCCTGAACTCCCGGTGTCTCCAAACATTGAACCCGCAAGCCAAACCCGAAAGCCGAAAGCCTCTCTCAAACTGAAGGTTTCGAAAGCCAACCCTAAGGGTCCATGTTCCCAAATAGTATACACATTGGCCTAAAAGTAGTCCCTGTATAGGACCCTTCGGGCAGAATTTCAAGAAGTGCTTAGGGATCCACTGCTGGGGCCTACATAGTCACCTATACTATTTTGACGGCTCCTTCTTATAGTTATAGTCTTCTTGGCACCAAAGCCTTATTCTACTTAGTAAGGCCCCTACATTTCATCCGCTGCGCCGACAAGCCCAACGTGCTGGTTTTTTGGGATTCAAGGGAACTTCTCCCATGAAAGCCGTCTTTGTGTAGTTTAGCTCCGACAAATTGAATGTTTCTTGACAAGCTGTTTCGGGCTGCTACGGCACAGCCCGTCAAAGTTTTGCAAACCTGAGCATTGTATGAAGTTCATCACACCAGCATCTTGCAATCAACCTTAGCTTTACGAAAGCCTGACTTCGGGTGTGGCAGCCAGCGGTAACCCTTCCAGTGCCTTTCTGACCAGCGGGTCCCGGTACTCAGGACGAGGAATTTGCCAAAGTGGTTTAGCATGATTGTTGCCCCTGCCGAACCTTTCATGCCCTTCCTCTTCCGTATATATGGCATGTTTTAGTAACAGCATTATTAACCATGTTCTGAATGACTATGCCCACGCTGGTGCAAGGCTCAAACTATCGTTTCGGACCGCAGCAGTCCGAATGAGTGCATTGTTGTTTCCCGTTCCGAGCGGAAGACCTAAAGCGAACTGTTTGGGCATAAAACTGACTCTTTGTGTCTTGAAACCTACAGCCCCAATTCCCCATGACACTGTTTTGTAGACCGTAACATCGCGAACTGATTCGTTAAAACCCCTTAGAAGGGCAATCTGAAAACGAGCCGAAACTAATATAGGGACCTTAATAATTACCTATACTATTTTGCTATTCTAATGAAGTACCAAGGCGCCCGTGTTCGACCAACGAAGCCCAATTCACAGTTCATCCGGTGTTCAACCGACATGCTCTACACTGTACACCCAATGTCTTCTTTTGGCCTTTGAGCTGTTTACCCCGTGCAATATGTCAATTACCGTGGAAGTTGGATTGCTCAGTGGCAGGACAGCTACCTTGAAAGCCGACTCGGATGAAGAAGTGGGAACATTCAAACGTCGGGCGGAGACGGCGCTCGGAGTGGGGACAGGGCGGCTGGTGGACTCATTTGGAGGCGTTCTGGATGTCAATGCGCCGATCAAGCGCGCCCGACTAAATGGTGACCGCTGGACTTTACAAATACGACGAGTTCAGGTTCAAATGGCTGAAGCCGCGCTTGCTGCGATTTGTGGCGATGGATCGTGCTGCACATTGACAATGGTTCATTCCTTCGAATTCCGTCGCGGTAACCGTATCGCTCTACAGGATGAGCTGGAGAATGTGCAGCAGATCCAAGCAACTTCTCACGCTTTTGCTGCCATTCTCGGTGACGGATCTGTCGTGGCCTGGGGTAGGCCTGACCATGGCGGTGACAGTAGTGCTGTGCAGGACCAGCTGAAGAATGTGCAGCAGATCCAGGCCTCTCTTGGCGGTGCTTTCGCTGCCATTCGAGGGGATGGCTCCGTCGTGACCTGGGGTAATGCGGACTATGGTGGTGACAGCAGCGCTGTGCAGCATCAGCTGAAGAATGTGCAACAGATCCAAGCCAACGTGTACGCATTTGCTGCCATTCGGGAAGACGGATCCGTCGTGACCTGGGGTAATGCTCGCCGCGGCGGTGACAGTAGTGCAGTACAGGATCAGCTGAAGAATGTGCAGCAGATCCAAGCCACTGAAGGCGCGTTTGCTGCCATTCTTGGCGATGGCTCTGTTGTGACCTGGGGCAGTGCTGTCAACGGTGGTGACAGTAGTGCTGTGCAGGATCAGCTGAAGAATGTGCAGCAGATCCAAGCCACTGAAGGCGCGTTTGCTGCCATTCTTGGCGATGGCTCTGTTGTGACCTGGGGCAGGGCTGTGTCTGGTGGTGACAGCAGTCATGTGCAGGACCAGCTGAAGAACGTGCAGCAGATCCAAGCCTCCGCCTTTGCTTTCGCCTCCATTCTTCTTGACGGATCTGTCGTGACCTGGGGTAGCGCTCGCGTTGGTGGTGACAGTCGTGCTGTGCACGAACAGTTGCAGAACGTGCAGCAGATCCAATCCACTCGTTTCGCTTTTGCAGCAACACTTGTCGATGGATCTGTCGTAACCTGGGGCGATGCTTACTACGGTGGAGACAGTAGTGCTGTGCAGGATCAGCTGAAGGATGTGCAGCAGATTCAAGCCACGGGCAACGCTTTTGCTGCGATTCTTGGCGACGGATCTGTCGTGACCTGGGGTCATGCTGACTTCGGCGGAGACAGCCGCGCTGTGCAGCATGAGTTGAAGAATGTGCTGCAGATCCAGTCCTCTTCGTCGACTTTCGCTGCAGTTTTAGGAGACGGATCTTTCCGCATCTGGGGGCGTGAAGCCCATGGGGAAGATGAGGAGGATGAGGAGGAGGAGGAGGAGGAGGAAGAGTACGAAAGTGAAGGGGAAGCGGAGGAGGAAGAGTACGAAAGTGAAGCGGAAGAGGAGGGGGAGGAAGAAAACGAAAGGGAAGGGGAAGAGGAGGAGGAGGAGGAGGAGGAGGAAGGGGAAGAGCAGGACCTGGCAGCTAGTGGTAGAGCTGCGCAGACTTCAACAACATAAGTGTTTGCCGCAATTAGCAGGCGCCCCGTTTGGGGAAGGCTCAGCTGCGGGCTGGCCATACTCTTCTTCGCTCATCAGAGACCTTAGATGAGAGTCCGCAGCTTTCCCGCAGAGTGGTTTTTAGAAGTTCCCTAAACCCTAAACCCTACAAACCCTAAATCCTATAACCCCTAGACCCTATAAACCCTGAACCCTTTAACTCCTAAACCCTAAACCCTATAACCCCCAACCCCTGAACCCTACAAACCCTAAACCCTATGCAGACCCGCGAGCCGGTATGAACCCCCGAAAAAATGTCACTGCAAGCGTGTCCTTAACTTTGGGACAAGACCCTAAGGGTCCATGTACCCATATAGCATATACTTTGGGTCCAATGTACCTATATACCACTATATGGGCTATTAGACCCTAAAGATCCCTATTAGGACCCTATTAAGGGTACCCTTAAGGTCTAATAGCCCATAGTGGTAGGGAGTACTTTAAGGCCAATGTATATACTATATGAGTACATGGACCCTTATGGAGAGACTTACTTAACATACCCTAACTAAAATAAACCCTAGCACCTAATATAGGGGCCTAAATAATTGGCTTTACTTTACCTTTTTTTTTTGGGGGGGGGGTCCTTATTATGAATATATAGGATGCTGGGCCCCAAAACCCTGTTCGGCCCTCTATTTTGCATCCCTTAGCCGGATGCCTCACAGGCGTTCCATGACCTGTTGTTCGAAGCCTTCGTCACGTGTTGGACATTGCTTTCGTTTTTTCTCTCGTCCTTGCAAGCTTCAAACAAATAGCAATCCTGTTCCTTCGGGTTCCGTATTGCAAGTACGGTATAAAATAATACCCAGACCCAAAGGTATGAGTTTGGAGGCTTCACACCCTAAACCTGTCACAATATCCGAAAACGACTCACAGCGGTTTTGTTTTAGGGTTCAGGTTTTAGGGCGGAGGCTTCACCAATTGGGGTCGGGGGCCCCGGGATCAATGATTTTGGTTGCTGTAGGTATTTTGACGGTTTAGGGTTTAGGGTTTTGGGTTTAGGGTTTAGGGTTTAGGGTTTAGGGTTTTTTGCTGTAGGCAGTTTGACCCCGATGTGCAATCGCAATGTAACGTCCTTTCCGCCGCGATGATGTCGACCAGCACCCTGGACAGCCCAACGATGTCCCCGTCACACGAACCTGTCCCCCCAGAGCCTTGAGACCATGTAATATAGGGGCCTAGATGATTACAAATTATACGTTTGTTTGTTGCTTTTTGTTTTTCTTTTTTGGGGGGGTGCGTATTATGATTTATAAGTATCGTATAATGGGACCAAAACCCTATTCTGAATATGAAGGCCCCCCCGCCCCCTGAACTCTAAACCTTAAACTCTAAACCCTAAACCCTTGAGACTCTGCAGTTTCCAGAACCGGAAGATCCTAAACTCGAAGTGCTTTCAGGCCTAGGCCTCAAGGGGACCCGAAAAGGCACCCTCAAACCCGCAGAGGAACCCGCTCGGGCCCCAATCCCAAGCCCAAATCCTTACCTGGGCTTCCAAAACCTTGCCGTTTGAAGGGTTCTACCCTCTAACTACGGGGTCATAACCTACTATTTTGTAGAGTTTGGAGTCACAGGTAACCTTAAAAATGCCTGGCACCTTGAACCCTGCACCCAGCGTTGGCAAGGCGAGCTGAGCGAGCTGCTGCGCTCGGGCCCCCAGCCGTTTGATGTTGTGGCTTCGAAAAGGAACACTATTCTGACAGTCTAGACCCCCATCGGCTAAAGGTTTTAACGGGCTTGAGCGGGTCTGTTACCGGTTTACAAGGTTTTGTAGTGTCTTATATCATAACATGCGGGTTTTCAGGGCTTGTAAGGGTGTTGTAGGGTTTCATAACGC